GGTTGTGTTTTTGTCATTTTGTATGATGATTTATGTAGAAGTCCACTTTGTTAGTCTTATTATTATTCTTCAGTGCCTAGTTGTCCTGTTTTGAGTTTCTTATATATCCTGTTTAGTTCCTTTATTATTTAGTATTTTCCCCTTGTGGCCTCTGTCTCTCTTCGTGTGTCTGTGTTTATATAGGTTGTGTGAGTTCTTGTGTCTTATTTCCTCCTCGTGTTTTATTCTGTTTTCCCCTGGCTGCCATGTTTCCCCATTCAGTCATGTTTCTGTGTCTGTCTGCATCTCTGTGAATGTTCCCATTACTTCCGGTTTTACTTTCTCTTGTCTGTGTGTGCCATGTTTTGTTTTACTTCTCTTACTCTGAAGGAACCTTATCTCATGTTTTATGTTTAGCTTTGTATCCTCTGTCTCGTTGTGTGTAATTAGCCCCAACTGTGTGTGTGTGCGTTTCCTGTTCTCTCGTCATTACCTGTTAATTTAAGCCCTTTGTTTTCTTCTGTCCAGCGTTGCAATCTCCCTCATCCATGGCTGTGTATTTCCCTGTGTGTCTCTTTGTACGATTAGGTTCCAGTATTCCAGTTTAGGTTATTTTCTTTGTGTCACCTACACTTTTTGAGTCTACTTGAGACGTGAGTGTGCGTTTGGGTCCTTTCCTGCCTGCACACAGCTGACTTATGACAGAATCAGAAATAAACCTGAGGGGTTGCAGTGGAGAACATGTTACAGTTCTGTTCTGATATGTAAATTTATTAACTGTATTTTTGCCTTAATTGTGATTTCATGGTGACTTATTTATTTATTACATTTATTTTACTTAAACATCACAGTTAATACAACAAAAAAAAAAAGAGGGGGTCAAATTTTAATATCAAAAGTAAAATGAGATGCATTACAATATTCTGTCACCATTTTTGGGTGTGAGGTTAACATGCTTGTTTTAATCTTACTGGAATAGCTAACGCTAGCGTGGGCAGAACCCTCTTTCATTCGCACCACAAATTCCTCTGTGCAGGAACAGGCTTGTTCAGCTGCACACGTTGTGTCCCAATTCAGGCTGTGTCCCAATTCAGGGCTGTGTCCCAATTCAGGGTCTGCACGCTTGAAGTACGCGCACTACTATAAGTACGAGAAGTGGGAAGTGAGAGGCTTGTGAAATGGGACGGTCTAGCCTTCGTCGCGCTGTTCAGGTTGCCTAGCAACCATGATACTAACCGCGAGAAACGTGAGATTGTGTGACATAAATGAAGGAGAAAAAAAATGTTTTGTTGGTCATTCATTTTTGTCAGGACATCACTTTGATTAGTTGAGTATCTGAGGCTGAGACCACAGGACTGTAAAACATGATTGTTGGGCTTCATTTCTGTACTGAACAGTCATTACAAGAGTAGTTAGTAAATAACAATTACGCTTAAGCTCTTGTTGTTCATGAGACTAAAGTCATCTCACTGTGGTAATGTAAATATAATATGGCCAATATTATAGTATTGTCAGATTATTATGATATATATAGATATATATATACCTCCTCAACATGTCTTGAAGTTCTCCAGAGGACTGGTAATGAACTAATCATTTGTTTCAGGTGTGTTGACCCAGGGTGAGATCTAAAACCTGCAGGACACTAATATGCCAGCAGTTTATCTCAATTAATGAGAGGAGATGGCATGTGTTTGGCTCCTTCACATAGTGGACATTGAGTTGTTGTGTGGGACACCAGTAGTCCATGTCTGTTGCTGTAACAGTAGTTCGTGTTTAGAGTAAAACATCCCAGCTCACTGACTTGATCGGGGCAATAGTGCCTAAAATGTTGCATAATTTTGCTAAGAGATCTGTTACTTTGTGGTAATCTTAGATGAGTAGTTTTATGGACAAAAACCACCAGGTCATTCAGTGTTCCCTTAGTGCCAAAATATAACAGATGTTGGTGTACTATAACTGAAGTAATGTTGTTAATTCATTAAAGTCAAATTCTTTTATTGTCATGACTGTATTTTAAGCTATTTTTATTTTTGTATGGTACCTGATTTATATGGAATATGGTTGAAGTAAACTAAAGTATAAAATACTTAGTCAGTCATTTGTTTAATAGTAACTTAACATTATATAATTCACATATAAAACTATGAATTGTAATTTTAAATGGTTTAAAAGCATGTAGAATAGCATATGTAGGCAAGTATATTTCTCCTTTTTTTTATCAAGAAGCAAAGACTAAAAGGAAAAAAAAGAAACAGGGCAGGGTTCGGTGGTTGAATCATTCGTTCCCGCAATGCCAAATGCCAAATCTACGCCCTTGAATTCATGTAACCAAAATGTGTCATTTACAAGTGAAGTCTTGACTAGGGATGGGTATCGAAAACCGGTTCTTGTTCCCACTGTTTCAATTCCTTGAAATTGTTTGCCATTTTTGCAAACGATTCCCTTATCGATTCCAGTCGCCCCGAATGACGTCACCACATTGCGGAGTGTCATTTACCTGGCAGAAAACACGGTGCCTAAGCGGCTCAAACACTAAAAAGTTTGATTATACTTTACGTGAACGGAAGACAACAGGGCAACTTGCAATACTTGCAAAGTAGATATTTCATTTAAGGGAGGAAACACTACGAATATGCAAAAGCATTTGAACAAAGTCTGTAAGTTGTAAAAAGCTTTCAAAAAACACATATAGATTTTGTTTATTAAGCAGTTTCTCTTGTATACAAACATGAAGGAAAAAAAATCCCCTTTGAGGTTAAAATTATGCTAGCTTACTCAAAATTACTCAAAAGCATTGGAACTCAATTTTAGGAACATTGGCAAGTTTTGAGTCTTTTAGAAGGGGAAAGTGTCAGGTAAATGTAATCTTAATTCTAGTTTTCTGAGCCATTATTCTGCTGGCATGTCAGTAGGAACTGATATTCCCATAGATGGATATAATCATTTTTCTAAAATTAATAATTCCAAATAAAAATAAATAAAAAGGGAAAAATCTGTGTGAAGATGGCAAAAACATTAAGATGTGGCCAAAGTCAACACTGAACTTATAATGTCAAGGTAGCTTCTGTTTTGCCTGCATTCACTGATGCGTGAAATTGTGTTACACAGTTATCAAATGTCACCTTTTTTTTTTCTTTTTTTTTTTTACAAAGGACATTTTGCTTGTTTTAGGCCAAGCTTAATTAAAGCTGGCTTTTCTGTTTTCGACTTTTAGTTCTGCATGTTTGCTGAACGAGGTTCGTGGTATAGGGCCCAAACCTCCTAAGCTGTTCGGTTAGAACTTTAGTGTGAATGAAAATTTTTAAGTTCATCCAAAATATTGGTTTCAATGGTTTGTTTCTTCTTGTTTGTTCCAGCTATGTACCCACCGGTCATGGCACCCCAAGCCAACATGTTTGGCAATGTCCCAGGCTATGAAGGCACTGTGCCAGGAGGAGGTAAGAAAAGCCCGGTTCACATAATTCCTCACATTAATGCTGTTGCTGGTACTTGAAAATTTGTCATTGATGCAGGAGGTTTCCTGCCTCCTCCCATGCCCATGGAGCCAGTAGCCCCACCCCAACCCGCCCCTGAAAATCCTGAATGGAGGTACGACATATTATCTGTGTCTTTCAGCTGCTCAACAACCAGTAGAATATTCTGGTTTAACACAGAGTTTATGTGTTTTGTAGCATCCCCTCTCTGTCTGAGGATGCAGCTCGTGAGGCTTTAAAGGAATTTGTGTCGTCTCATTGCTGCTACGGTGACGCACCAGTCACTCAGGGAGTCATCACCTCCATGGAGCCATTCAACACATTTAGGGTGATTAAATGTTCCCTTTTTATAATGCTGTTAGCATCAGTGATGCTGAGGACTGAGTTACCTCCATATCTGCTTTTACTATCTCTGCAACAGACTGGTTTGAACTGTTTGTACTCATAGTTTTCTAAACATTTGACCAAAGGACATAATTGAATGATAATGAACTGTTAAGAATAAACCTATGTAATGATTCTTTTTGCTCAAAAACCTGAGGGGTTTTAGTAAGTGTCCAGACCTGCTGAAGTAGTAGTTTGCCAGGACTTTTCATCATACCCTCAAGACTCTTGCAAGTAGCTCAAAGAATATGGAATACCGGTTCCAAATACCAGTTTTACCACAAAATTTGTTATGCAGTAATATGATGCCCAGTTATATGAAACCAAATTGGAAATACGTTGTATGTTACAAGTTTAAACAAATTGTGGATTTAATATCACAACTATCTCAGGTTCTACACTTTTAACAGTGAGAGTGAAAATAGTTCTTGTTATTCAATATTTCCACCCCCATTCGTCTCCATCTTATACTTATTTTGACAATAAGATGTTTTTTCTCATTCTACATGTGCATTAATACAACTCCTTCCTGATCCAGAAACAGACTGAAGGCTCATACAGTACCAGGCTGACAGGCAATAGCTGCATGAGCAGTGTTATTACAAAGTCCTTCTAAGTGATGACATCTTGAGCATGCAGAGACAAAATAAAGGCAAAGATGTGTTGTCAAAGAGGACAGTCTCAGTTCAAAAAACTGTTTCACATCAGTTTAAAACAAACCTTAACTTGCACATGGCTGACATGTGACCTGAAAAACTTTAAAGTGACATTCAATTGTGAATAAAATCATAACACCTGTAACGTGTATCTGACACAACAAATATGCTTTTATTTTAACATGTCCAGCTTTTTGCACATGATGCATAGAAACGTATGTTTCGCTTTCACTCTGATGTTGAAATATAGAGAAATTAGCACAGTAATGTTATCAGCAAATCCAGTTTCTCTCAGTAAAGTCTGTTTTTTTGTTCCTTAGTACCGTCTGGAGACATTCACTGAGTCCAGGTCAACTGACTGGGCCCACAAACCACATGAAGGTAAACGCACATTTTCATTTTGTTAAATCAAAACCTGATGTGGAGCCATTAAAATGTTCATTTTCATTTGTTTCATTGAGCCACCATGTTCTGTTATTATAGAGCAAGACTGGATGCTTTTTAATCTGATGGTAGAGTTTTGTTGTTTCCTGTTACCAAACCACATTTTTCACTTTGTTCTTGACCACACTCAAAGTTTATGGCCTTGTGAGGCATTAAAAACAATAGTGTGATACTCAGAGCCTATTATGAATCAAACTCCAGAACAACTGATTAATAAATAGTGTTTTACCTGAAAGAGTTAAACCTGGAAATTTGCTTTGGTTTTCATAATAATGAAATGCCTTTTTTTATTAATCATTGCGTAAACCTACTGACAATGCAGTAACTTACTATACTAGTAGTTTATTGACTGTCATTTTCTGTGATCTCGTGTATTCAAAAGGTGAGACTGCTGACTTTTACACCCAGCCCGCTCCACGACCATGGGAGGTCCAGGCCACACCCCCCAAACTTTTCAGTGACCACACAGAGAAGATCCGGGTGCCCTACACGTCCTCCGTCAAGGTGGCTGAATAACAAAACCTATCTGTCAAAGTGCTGGGTTACCTGCAGTTTAGTTCTGAGCTTTAAGCTTGAAGATATATATACTTAAAGAATGGGATACTTGAAATCTGTGAAGATTTGAGTTTCTGAATGAGCTGGTTGCTAACATAGCACGAGGTGTCAGTGCTATAGTCACATGTAGTTTTCACTTTAGCTGGAGCTCTAATTAGAAGTTAAACCATGAACACAAACTGTGTGTGAGGAATCTAAGGAGAACTCCCCATCAGTGTGATTCTGAAAAGTTTTTACCTTTTACTCATTTTTATCTTTTTTGTGTGTGTTTGTGTTTAGCAATGCCACACGTGCAATGCAGCAGGTACTGAGCAATGCAAGGAGTGCAGTGGAAGTGGAAAAGTAAGGAAACTCTCAATAGTAAATAATAAGACATGAAAAGTCTAATCAAGGTACAATTAAAACATTTGCTTATTTGTGTCGTTGTAGAAAGCTTGCCTGATGTGTAATGGTGGAGCAAAGTCCGATCCAGCCTGCACTCGCTGTAATGGCACAGGCAAAGACAGGTACTGAATGGTCACACAAACTGAAAATAAAACAGAAAAAACACCAGTTTCAAAGCTTACATTTTGTATTATCTTCATCTACCTTTTTCTTTTTAAACATGCAAACTAATAATGATACGCCAAATTAAACAATTACAATTGAAATGATTCAGTGTTAATAAATTGGGATCAGACCTCCTATTCTTTTTTTAATGTTGGCAAGCAAGTACAAAAATTGTCTCCTGAAATTCATAGATTTTAGATTCTGATTGTTCTGAATTTGTGTTTTCAAATAATTTATTCACTATTAACATTTTAAAGTCAAAAACACAGCTTAATATATTGCATTTTGATTAGATCATATTTGCATGAAAATGTTGGGGTTATGAGCGTGTAGAAAATAATGTCAGTAGGGATTGTTGGCCCCTAGGTGAATTTCTATTAATAAAACTGTACTATACTATGGAGCCTCTACCTCATGTTTTCCCCTTCCGATACAGGTGATCCAATCAAACGCAACAATACACAGTTTAAACCCCACTTCCGTCTTAGAAGACTATTTGGTGAGCTGTGTGAAGTAGATATCTACTTATCAGACTCAGAAAACAGCCAGCTGGGATGATGATGGACTTTTTCTCTATACAGGGAATGAGGTGACTCTTTTACATGTACTGAGCAGAGCGTGAGACTTTCAGAGTTTGAGGGTTTATAAACTTGTGAAAAAATGGCTTCATAACGTGTTTGTCAGCATTATGGACTGCAAGTTCTAACATGAATAATGAATTGAATTACAGTCAGTTAACGGCTAAGCTTTTCATTCAGGCATTCATCTGGCCCTCTCTGTTGATCAATCACAAAGCTATTTATTTAGTAACTTTAGTTTTTATTCTGAAGCTGTGGTGCTGAATGGCTTAATGAAAATTGGAATGGAATCAGACAACCCCCTTCTCAGACACACACGAACACACAGAGTCATGTCATCAGTACTGTCATGGGACAGTGTCAGTTTGTTTCAGCTGGTTTGAGACACCTCTGGGAGGTGACAGCTCTGGGAGGCATTGCAAGCCTCTGGGAGGCTTGCAATGCCGTGCAGCATGTTTTTCCTGGTCTACTTGTATGTCTGTCATTTCCTCAGAACATACCAAAGTCATAACCTTTAGCCTATTTTTTTTCCTTAGCAGTTTTTCTCTTTCTTTTCAAGAGTCCACCGAATAAATCACTTTTGCATGTGATGTGAAGCATGTCCATTCATTTTCTGCTTAAATCTCTGCTCATGTCCTCAATGATGCTTTATTTTACTCAAATTAAAAGCAAAAGTAGAAGTGTTACAAAAGCAAGAAAAGCCTCATTAAACAATTGTTTTATAGATGAATGTTTTATAAAATAAAGGGTTTAACAATTTAAGGAGTGAAATAAAATGCTGTTGTTGCTATTTGTTGCTTCAGGGACAGTCTTCTATCTGACGCTACAGACTCAACTGATCATCTGTCTGCTCCCATCTGCCATCTAGTTATCCCACAATAACTGGGATAACTTTTTGTAAAGAAATGATCATCTGGCCCAATAAATATGAGCAAAGGAAGAAATCAGTCAAAAAATGTTCAGCAGGATGTGAAATCATAAGTTACTTTTATTTATTTAACAAACTTTTAAAAATACATTTGATAATTAAAGTCTTTTATGAGTGTATCCTGGTTGAAGATGGGCAGCAATATTGACAAAATAAACAAATATCAGATTTTTTTAAAGTTAAAACAAAATCTAGAGAATCGACAATGGTCAAGACTGAGTCAAACATATTTAAATGATTTTATTCACTTCAATGTGGACTTTAGTAACAAAGAAAAAATTGGGGGAAAAAATTGTATATCTATAAGTAACCAAAAATAATGAGTCATGTGTCTGTGTGTGTTTAGGTGTACAAAGTGTAATGGTAGTGGGAAAAAGCAATGTGAAACCTGTAAAGGAAAACGTCAACTGCTGACCTACATTGAGCTAAAAGTGGAATGGTGAGTACAAGTACAACAACAGTTTCAGTGTTCCTATATTTCCTATGATTCCTGTATGAAGATTGGGTTCTTCAAGTGTGTTTTAGGTGTCATTTGGAAAATTCAAATGGTCCTGGAGGAGGTTGCAGAAGTATATAAAGACACTCAATTTAACTCCTTTAAATGGTTTAAATTTGTTTCTAAAGCCCTTGAAGCCAATTTTATGCTACATGTCCTGGATACTTGCAGAGTTAATTAAGGATACTTAAGGTTCTGTTTGAGGTCTGATTGTTTTGACAGATATTCATGAATTATGTAGAAGAAAATGGTACATGGAGATGTTTTAAAAGGCTTTGAAAAGTCAATGCAAATTAGTTGGTTCTTTTTTTTCCACCTTAAATATTTTTTGAGGTAGTTCCACTGAAATTTTAGAAAACATTAAATATCTTCCACAGACTACTGATGAGGTCCAGTCCTTAAGGATAATACACGAGCCCTGCCCACGGTTTTAGTTGTACTTGAAGAATAACCAGTTTATGAAAACAAAGATTTTATCTTTCAGTGACAGAGTTGCTTAAAGGCTTAAGAGGCCCATATATTTCTGCAGATATCTGACATACAGTATAAACAAATTTTAAAAATCAAATAAGGAAACAAGAGAAGAAATTACACATGGTCATTGTTTCATTTTACTAAATCCATTATTTTCAGTCACTAATAATAATAATAAT